GGGAGCCGGCCCTCGGGCCCAGTGCCGGGACGAAGCCGTGACTAACGGGGCAGCGGGCATCTCCCTCTCTCTCGTGGTGTCTGTCCCCAGTGGCTGCACCCTGAGGACCCCCATTGCCCTGGGAGGAGGCAGGACAGGAAGTGACCCTGCCCCAGGGCTGGGGCTGGGCTTGGGGACCCCTGAGGCCTGGTGAGGGGCCAGACGGGCAGGGCCTGCTGGTGCTGGAGGTGACGGGGTGTTGGCCCCGAGAGCGGGCTGTGCTGTGCGGTGTAGCGAGTCGGGGTGGCTTTCTCCTGGGGCCTGTTGGGGGGGATTGGTGGAGGACGGGAGGTGTCTTCGTTTCTTTTGTTTTTACTTTCTTTTTAAAAATATATTTTTATTGATATCAGAGAGGAAGGGAGAGAGAGAAACATCAGTGATGAGAGAGAATCATGGATCAGCTGCCTCCTGCACACCCCCTACTGGGGATCGAGCCTGCAACCCAGGCATGTGCCCTTGACCGGAATCGAACCCGGGACCCTTCAGTCTGCAGGCCGGCGCTCTACCCACTGAGCCACACTTCCCGGGGCGTGTATTCGTTTCTTGTTCACTCTCTCAATGCTGGAGCTCGAAATCCGAACCCAGGTGCCGGTACTCGAGGTCCCCTGGCCAGAGACCCAGCGGCTCTCCCCTGGGCTCCCCTGGGCGCCTCGGTGTCCAAACTTCCCTCTTATAAGGGCACCAGCCATTGGACCCAGGGCCTCCCTCAGCTGGTCTGACCTCATCTTCACTAATTACATCTGCCCAGAGCTGCTCCCAAATAAGGGCACGTTCTGAGGTCTGGGTGGACGTGCGTCTGGGGGACAGTCTCCGATCCGCGTCCGCGGGTGCTCGGGCCCCGCCTCCCTCCCTGCAGACTCCACGGGGCTCAGGCTGTGATCGCCCTCCCCTGTCACCCGGTTGTGTTGGGCGCCCTCTGAGGGTCCAGTCCACTCCCCCGGGGGGGGGTCCCTGGTCACTTCGAGACCCCAGCACACTCTGCCTGCACACACGCCCCCCACCTCCCCGCTGTGTGTTCGAGCCCGAGACGCCCACACGTCGTAGTCACTAAGTCGATCAACAAACCCCATCTGGGCACCTGCCTGGCTCAGCCTGGTCGGGGGGAGGGGGCCAGGATGTCTCCTCTGCCCCCCTGAAGCGCCCGGCCCAGGGCAGTGCAAAGAGGGAGCCGGCCATGAGGAGTGACATTAGTACCCGAGCTGGGGGCAGGGCTCCTGGCCCTGGGCGCGAGGAGCTGGGCTTCAGGGGACGAGGGCCTGGGGCATAGGGAGATGACAGGCTCTGCAGTGAGGGCTCCTTTCTGCCCCGCCTCTGGGCCTTTGCATGTGCAGCCTCTCCACCTGGACCGCTCACCTCCAGAGCCCTGCCCAGCCAGCTCCCTCGGGACACCTCCTCCAGGAAGCCCTCCGTGACTGTCCATCTAGAGCAGCCCCGCCCCCACCCTTTCTTGCCCCGCCCTGTGTCGGGTCTCCACAGCCCCCTCTGCACCTCTGAGTCTTCCTTTTAGGGGAAGTGTTGTTTGCTGGCCTTCCCCACGAGAAGGTCGTTGGCGGCAGGACCTTGTTTGCCTTGTTCATGTATGTCCTCGGCCCCCATGCACTGGCTGCGCACAGTAGATGCCTTGTAAAGATTGGTGGAGTGAAGAGGACCTTCCCAAGCCGGCCTGTCCCCCGGGGGCTCATGGGATCAGATGAGACGGGGCAGGAAAAGCTCCTCCATTCATTGGCTCCCCGTAGTGAGGGAACCTGGCAGGGTGGCCCTGGGGGCAGGCCCGCTCTGGCAAGGACCATCAGAAGGCTGGGGCGTGCGGGGCCTCCGTGGGAGGGAGCCTTCCTCACCTGGCAGCCGGCGGGCGAGGCTGCACCCAGGAGTATCTGGGACACAGTGGGAGAAGCCAGCGGGTAAAAATAACCACCAGCGTGTGTGGCCGCC